ATTTTCCTTACAGAATTTTATACCCACAGGGTGAGTTTTTTAGTGTAAAGTAACAATATTATGTGAAAATAACGAGCATTAATCCCAATATACCGAAAAGAAAGCAACGAAAACGTCGAAGAACATTTTTACTATAATATGATGGGGAAGAGTCTGACCTGTTAAATGTAAATTTATTAAGATTGCTACTTTTACGATCTTAAGAACTGTCTGAAATTAGTTATTCTTCTCAAAACTGGAAATAAATTTTGAAGATTTCTGTTGGGTTCGAAAGCTGAGTTGAGGAAGTTGAGTTCTCATTATCGTCAAAAATAACCACTTTGCAAAAACGAAACTTTTTATAGCAAGTGTGCAATGGTGTTTTGAACAATGAACGTTAAACGAATTTTCTACGATTCCAAGAAAGTCAGGGATATTCTTTTCCGATATTCGTAGTTTTGGTGGCGGCACAAAAAAATATAATTTACAAAAGTTTCTGCGAGTTCGGCTCTTCAGTTCAATAAACTTTTCAATGCTCAAAAGCTTCTTTACTTCAGAGCCCAAAAGTACCCGATAAAGCATAAAATGGAAAATTTGTTGGTCAGGTAAAGTTTAATAATTTTCAATCAGTAAGAAATAATAAGACTATTAATTGAAATTAACCTTGCATATGGAAACCTGATAAATTGAAACACATTGAGTTTAATTTGGAAACATTGGCATTATTAATAATGGTATATCTTAAGGATTCTACTGTGATTAATAGCGTGTAATACAATCATCTAAAGGAAATATACCTTTTAAGCCAAAGCGAGAATTATTGATAATAACGACGCGCTTAAAATTAAGGAGTTGAACCGACCCGAATGTGTTTAGATAAAAAGTAAAGTTAATATTCAATCGTGCCCTAACGCTTGTAGATCCAACCGTTATGAACAAGGCATGAAATTAATCGTATTGTTAAATTTCTTCTTCGTCTAATAGGTAACTCATTTCGTTTCTACCCAACATAAGCATTTCAGTGAGTTGGGAAGGTGGAAATGGTTTTTCTGACTCTCCAGAAAAAAAATCAATGGCAATGTCGAACTCGAACATCAATTGCTATTGTACACATATAACGTCTAACGTAAACTCACCTAATCTTCTTTCGCGGTAAACGAACAACTTAGCGACATTTTGTTAGATTTAGTTATGAAGTTACTATCGACTAGTTTAACGCAATATTTCAAAGTTGAGTCAACAATAATGTTGATATATAAGCGAAAGTTGCGGAGCAAATTGTGAATAATGAGCACCATCTGCGGAAAAATCTCTTTATCACCTTCTCGCTGTACAATTTATAATAAAATTATGCGGAATAATATATAATTTTCATGCAAATTATATCCGTCTATCTCAATTGCTTTGCTGCTGATTAAACATTCTCCCTCTGCTAGTTGCAAATTGATAATGTACAACATGTCAATAAATGAAATTAATGTTTATTTATCGCGATAAGTTAATTATTATTAGTCACATTTAGTTCGAATATTTTCGCTCTCTTTTGAACAGTCGTAATTGCCCTCTGAAGGTAATTAATAATGAATTTATATAACTGGATTTACACGATGCAACGGTTATTTTACTAGATGTGAATTAGTACCAATAAAGCTCGAGCATTCAATATTTGTTATTTATAATATACAGAGTGTGTTATTGCGACGCAGGTGCAAAAGTCTTGATTAAATGCAAAAATTAACGTCAAGACAGATTAGTTACAAATATATTTTAAATACTCAATTTTCACTTTTTTTGTTTTGTCGTCTTTTCAAAAATTTATTTATATATAATATTACTATGTTCTCCTGAAATCAAGTGAAGATGAGGACTTATGTTATAATTTAATACAATAATTTTGGAATTCCTAAATTTTGAACGACTTTATTGATCAAAAATATTATTGTTTCCTACACTTTGCTTAGTATTGCGGCTATTTAACACCCAGTATAAAACAATACTTTTAGTATAGTAACTAGTTTAATATTTTTCAAAACAAATTCGTTTAAAATACATTAGTGCAACAGGTTTTCATACGAGAAACGCCTGTTCATTAAATTTAGTGCCTGCCAATAGCAAAGTGTGTATCATACTCCAACAAGTTATGCGGCACCGCCTGTTTTCAGCGATTGCTTCCCATGTTTGATAGTCATTTTGTTAGACACGGCAATAATTCACGTTTACAAATAGTGTTTGGTTAATAAACAAACCGGAAATGGAACAGCTTTGATATTAAACTGCGTCGTAAATTTACTCATAAGCAATCCGAACTGTCCGTTTCGATTAAAACTTATTTTAAGCAGCCGAGTTAAAGCGTGTGAAGTTTGAACAAGCCCCGACCTTGGACTATTTCCAGCCTGGACCCGGAAAACGGTTGACCTATATTGTGACGTCATACCAGGAAATTCTGGAATCAATGGCAGGTTGCATCCAGCTATGGACTGGATATTTATTCATTGATGTGACCCAGCAAAAGCACTTCAATGCAGACAACCAATTCATAAGCATGTTCTTAACTTTACTATCGTTACACAATAAAATACAACTTATCAAGCTCATTGATAGCGATTGAAATGTTCAGTTGTGAATAGTTTCCTTACCGGGCAGAGTTTATGAGTTTTTGGTATAACAGGTCAGATCTTTATTGCAATTATATCAAATTTTAACATTTTTTGTCGACATCCATCCTTCCATTGCCCTTTAAAATAAAAAATTAGTACTACCGTCTGCAAACTTTGCGAGCAGATAATTAAATAACGTTTTAACAAATCACCTAGTATATTTAAGCAAATTGAACTCTACAGATGAATTGAATGGACTCTATTTGAAAGTACATTTGATGTCAGGTCAATTATCAATTAAAGCTCGCTTTGACAGTAGAACAGCGGTGCATATTCATAATAAATTTTTAAAAATTCAGTGCAAATCCGTCGTTTTGGGATTAACTCGATGAAAATAAAACAGAGTTCTATCAGGAAATGAACAGTTTAGACTTTAGTATTTTAGATTTTGTTACATACGAGACGGTGTGAGTTAGAATGAGCTCAATATTTTTTGTCATTGGTTTGGCTGATTTCAAAATTGATGTTGAGCTAATGCTTAAAGTAAGTTGGGGTTTGTCATTTGAGAATTTGGTTTAACCGTTAAATGCAGTTTTAACAGTAACCCGGCGGCAAATGATAATTTTGTTTTCTTCTTTTTTTTTATTATTGATTTTTTAGGTCCAATATCCCGCTATATCCAGACGTCGTAACTTTGAACAGAAGACATAGAGAGAGAACGATTTAATGGAAATGTCTCGCAAAACCGCTCTTCCATTTGCATAAAATTTGTTGCTCCTGGACCCTCCATTATTCCCAGTTTGATCCGGGTTAATGGCTACTTCGACTTTTTTTTAGAATGGAGCGAAATATACAAGGTGTTACATAGTATATCAACAACTTTTATGAGCAACAGCTGACATAAAAACAGAAGACGGAAAATATTTTTGAGATTCAGGGCGTTCAAATTTGTACATTAGTTTACCAATACGTAAAAATGTAAATTCAATAAATGAATCTTTAATATTTCATATCAGCAAACAACAATTTCGTGCTATAGAGGGTTTGGTGAAAGTGGGAACAGTCAAAACAGAAGAAAACTACATTTTATTGGGTTCCATAAAAGCCTACCAAGCATTTTTTATCAATCAAAACTAAATCAGAATAACCAGGGGCGTTCTCGCAGGTAAATTGCTTGGTTAAATGCACAAAAACAGCACGCTTAGTTTTCTGCAAACTTTTAGTTATTTTGGTTTGTTAATTCAACTTTTAAGGGAATTTTTATTGCATTTAAAAAATTTTTTAGCTGATTTACCGTGTGTTTAAATTTTACGCAGTGAACTAAGCGGCGACTTTTTAGAACGACGTGCCACTAATAAAATTTGTTCCTGCCGTTATTTATCTCTCTCTACGCTTGGAACAATTTAAGTCTTATTTCACGTCCGTTGATTCCGTGACGCCTTAGTGCATCCACAAGTTCTGAAACGTGAACAGTTCCATAATCCATTGATTATTATTATCCCAACACGCCTTCAATTAATCGCCAACAAATTGAATCCCAACAACGCCTTCGTTTGCCGGTTTTCACAACACTGCTGAAAGGGAATACTACCTGGTAATAATTCAGTTACAGCTTGAAATTATTAGTGAACGGGCACTAAACATGTTCTTTCATATCTTTGTATTGTGAAATTAGAGCACTTTTAAACACTATAATAGACGCCTTAAGTAAATTCTGTCCTTTTAAAAGACCAAAATTTTTGGGTAAAATTTTGGTCGATTATAGCTTGATCTGGGTTTTTATCATCTTTAATTGTAACTTGGATTTAAGAAATGACATCACATTTTGCGTTCTATCAGAAGAAACATCAACATTAAAATCTCCACTTGGAATGAGTGGAAATTTATGGTAGTTTTAGCTAAGTAAACTGGAACGTTAAGGCCGGTCCGGTCGTCCTTTGGATGCGCGATTTCTGACGAACGCGCTGGGTCGAAAACGCATCCAAAAGAGACCGACCCACAGACTACACACTATTATATACACACGAACGGCCCAAAGACTACACACTATTATATTCTCACGCACGGCTTAATCGAACGTTATGATTGGCGGCCGTAACACATTCCGATGAGCTTTCACCGTGCCATAAGAAATTATCACTTCAAACCCTTTGTTTATTCAATAGATTTTTTCAACCCCTCTTGGAAGCGAACGCGTTAGTCCTGCGAAAGCAGCTTAATGGGTCTGTATTATGAATATTTTGCTGCTATCTGAATCTGGTTGTTGTCACGTTCGAACCTGGAACGTTTTCCCAGATCCGTACCTCCCTCTCGAATCAATTACGCGAAAATGTCGTCAGTTTTCCGACAATGATATAACCAAAATCGCATCTTGGCCGAATCGAATAGATTAAAAACAATAGAGCTCCCTCAACAGATTGCAGTCCGTGTGGTGGAGGGTCACGTGCACAGCGCAACGTGCACCAGTTTTAGAGACGGCGTCGAACAAGCGTCGGCAGGCGGACTGGGAACGCGGGACGTCGACCGTGAACCTGACCAATCGGGAGCCGGCGCCTTGCTACGTCACGCGACGTGCAAGTTCACCGTTACCGCCGTCGAACTTGGTACAGTTCGCGATGATCCATCCGCAAGGAAACGGCGCTGTGCTAACGGCGCCCAGCACGTCTCGACGCTCCGACGAGATCATGCTGAACGGCCCGACGTCTTCCAGAGTCGCTCGCCCCATGGTTAGAGTCAAACCCATTTCCGATATTTCCGTGGAACATTCATCTGAGGAGGCTGCAAGTGAGTGTTGCAAAAAAAAATGTTTATATGTTTGTCATACTTTGCCTTACACGATTATTGATATATACAGGGTGGGCCACCGAAACGGAAACGGTTCAAGTTTGGGGTTCTTAAAGGCATTAAAAAAATCGCGTTTAAAAAGTCTGTGTCAACTCTTTCAACTCAGAGGGCGGTTTCGCATACTTTAAGCTTCATATTCTACCAGTAAAAGCAAGAAAAATTGTCTTATCAAAGTTTCGTAGTAGCCTTAAAATTATCAAGAAGCACCTTATCGAATTAAAATGTAGAATAAATATAAAGATAAAAATTGCATAAAACAGCAAATACTCTAACATACATGCATAAGCTAACAACTAAAGGACAAGTATAAAAAAATCCGTTTTCCCGATGGAGCCATAAATTCTTCACTTTAAGTTGAGTGTCCAATTTTTTATTACTACAATGCAGTTTCACAATTGAACCTGCCATACGAATGTAAAATGTAAAATGCATTTTACCAGAAACATGATCAATTGATATCAGAACTGTTCAATTTCACTTCGTATCAAAGATTGATGTTGACAAAAACTTTGCTGGTGCAAACTTATGAATTGAACAAGAGAGAGTAGTTTTTCATCAAACCCTGTCTGGATCCGGGGTTTATTCAAAACTTCCAGATCAATAAAATTCATCAAAAATTTTTTAAATTGCTCCTAGTACTTGTGTTAGTGCCTCTTCCTATCAAATTCAAAACCGTCTAAATCGTTACTCATTTTTTTCAACAACTTTCACTTTATCAGTTTTATCAATAGTCCAAATACGCTGTAACCTTGGTGTTGCAAGAAATATCTGGCTGAATTAATGCCTTCCGTAGCTATTTTTTTGTTTCACTCAAGTCGGACTTTTCAATGTATTACGTGTGTATGTAATTGCATGATGTGCATCATAATGATGTCATCCATAATGTGCATTGTGGAATACGTATATTCCACAATGCTTATTGGCTAAAGAGATACTAAATTCTGAACTCAGACATTGACTAAACATTACTTTCCCCAACTTCTGTTAAAGGTTTGGAGGTTTCCTGACATTTTTGCTTTAATTACTAAAAAACTCTATTAGATTCAACTTTTAAAACGCGAATTATTTCAAAGAGTCAAGACCCGGTTTGAAACACTTCTCTTAAACTCCGGATTAATTGGAGTTTCATCCTCGATTGCAAACTTGAGGCCATTTCTTGAATGTCTCTTATTTTTAATTTTGTAATGGACGTTGTTTTTGATGAGGTTAACAGACTGAATGGGACAGCGTATTAAATATTACGTGCAATCGAAGGAAACTGTATCCCCCAATGTATTAGCCTTAGGTTTCGACTTATAATATAGTCTTAAATTTTAAGTTGGGTACCTTAATAAGCCAAGCTGAGTTGACAGTCAGCTACATTATTTTTGGGCCAAGTGTTTTTCCAACTTTCTCTCATTTGTGGTTTGGGAACAAACATGCAATTCTCACACAAAACTGTATCGTTTACGCTTTATGTGTGAAGGAACTTTGGGCGCTTTTAGAGGCGTGGGAGCTGTAAAAGGTTCTACGCAATCAGGGCTTTTATCGTTAATTACTAAGTGGTAAATATCATGGAAAGCGTAGAGAATTTTTTTCCAATTTGTCTTTCATTTATTTAATTTGTTTACTAAACTTTCCTGAAAATATTCACTTACCCATTATCCTGGCAAGAAGTAACTCTTGATTAGACACAAGAAGGTGAAATTGCCAGAGTTTTTTGAAAGCCAAATGAGAAAATATCGGCAATTTTGGACCGGACTAAAGGAGGTATTTGCAAAGAAAATAAGCCGCCCCAATAAAAAGTAATTGTTTCTACTTATGGCCGAGAAAGACGATAGGGTTTTGAGGCAATGACAATAATAATAACGAAAATGTGAACTGTAATTGCTTAAATGAGGCATTCAAAGTGCATACATTTTGATGAAATTGCCGGCATTAAATTGGAGTAATGGGTTTTCTAGATAAATTAGTTTTAAATACCGCCTAAAAATTATATCGTCTCTTATGATGTCCTCATTTCGAAGCATTTGCTCAATCAAAAGTTATTGCCTGTAAATATTCACTACACTGCGGTAGAGCAGGATTACTTTTGAAGTTCTAAATTTATATGTTTTTAATGTGACACAAAATAAAAGTGCTTTTAGCAAGTGACATATTGGAAAGCAAAGCACTTACACTAATGCGTGCAGTTTTCAAAAATGAACATGCAAACAGTACATTGGATTTTCCTAAGATTAAATGCTCTTAGACTAGCAAATACTATTTTAACGACCCAGAAAGTTTGTCTCAATATAAATGGCTTTGCCAGGCCATGAAAATATGCCCGTTTCTAAAGGCAGAAATTGGGGTGTCAGTTTTAAGTTTGAGTGAACATTCACATCAAGGGTGTAAACGTGAATATAACTTGAAATGAGGCCCTTAATTTATTTATTTTTGTTAGCCCCTTAATATTAGTGTCTCTTTCAATTAAAGTCGCGAGAAATAATTTTCGGGCAATTAGCTTTTTAACATTTTAACTGGCTAAAGTTATTTCTGATTTCTGATTATATTATTATATTTCATCATTTTCATGGAGTGGAAGCTCCTGGTAAAAATATTAATGTCATTGTATTTTCTGTAGATTTTGAAGACACTTTGTAGCAAAACATTTTTAGTACATTTAAAATAATTTCTATAGTCAGCAAATCAGCAATACCGAATTACAGAATCTGAGGTTATTCTACTGAACGACTTCAGTGGTTTGCACTTTTATGCAATTTTTTATAATTTTTTTCAACGCGAATGCCAAGTAATTTAAATCATATTGGCTTTGTGATAATGCTTTTATTAGACTAAAAGTTTTATTTTGATTTCGGAGCTATACACCAACAGTCAATGGCGTTTTATGCTTCCTCTTCATCTCTTAAATTATTCCATCATACAGTTTATTGCAAAATCTCACAAATCTGTATTAATCAATTAAAAATTTTGGCGTATTCGGGTGAAACTGAAAATTGATTCTTGTTTCAAAACAGTGTTTCAAACACTTCATTCAGTTCAATAAATTTAGATAAATTGATCAACAAATTTAAATTAGATAACAAAGTTTCAGCAAAGAAGAAGCAGTATTAAATAATTTAATAAAACTAATTGGAAAAATTAATACTATGGAGAGCATTTAATTATGAAACAATTTCAACAAAGTGAAAACAAAATTGAATTATTTTTAGCTAGTTATTATGAAAACCGGTTTAAAATAATAGCTGATGATAACTTTCTATAATTAGTATACATACTCGATTCATGTTGACAATGTTTGCAAAATATAGTGCGCTGTTTCAAAAATATATAAATTTTGAAAATGAACGATCGTTTTCCAAACTGCTAACATGCCAATACAATACTTAATTCATTTGTTTTCCCGATAGCATTGAAAAAAGTATGTCTGTGCATTTTGCAGCAAAAATTACTCAATTCCCGCTTGTTACCCAAACTCAGTTTATGCACGCTGTATTGTTAAAATATAGAATAATAGAGACGCGTTCGCAGTGTCAAGGCAAATATAACGATATCGATTTGTCAAGGGGCGAGGCAAAAAGGAAATTACAGTATCTTGTTACCGAAATTGTAAAAAAAATACCGTTATAATATACAATAACCAGACTCAGCCATTAATATTAAATGTAGTAAGACTGTTTCAGTTTTTCCAACTTGCCAATCTTTTATGTGACGGCACGTGGTCCCTTGTTGCCATGAATTGGCAAAACTTCCCCCTTAGACTATGCCTAATGCGATAACGTTGTTATTCAGTTTAAAAAATTGTAGCGCCTTAATTTATTCCAACACGCATTATCTAAATTTTGTAAGTGCTTTTTCATTATAAAATTTAATTTTTGTGCTAGAATGGATATAGGCGGGACTAATTAGTTAGCCATCTTGAGGATACAGAAAAAAAAGTGCAAAAATATGTAAAAATCGAAAATTAAACGATATTAGCTACAGCAGAATTTTACTTACCGATCTGATTTTTTTATGTTAGTTTTCATTTTCATAAGCTACTGACTCAATGTGTATTAAATTGATATAATATATCTTTGGGTAATTTTTTATTCGGAATAAGTAATTTACTTTGAACCAGTTTAATAACAATTTAAATCTACTTTTTCTTTATACAATTTGTATTTGTATGCTGTAAATTTTATCTACAATGTATTATATTTTTTCAGAATTTCCCGCATACTTTAGTCACGCGGCTTTTAATTAAAAATTTGTGGCTTGACAATGATCGCGTAATAAAATGTAAAAAACAGTCACCTCTACAAAATTTAAAATGTGAATAATCTCCATATTTTTCTATGATTTACCGCGTGAATGTTCAAATTTAGCTTTTTTATAGACTAGGCACTGATTTATTAGCTCAAGTAGTTTGTTACCAATTTGCTTTATTTATTGGGTTTTTACATTCGGGTTTTGCTATATACCTCGTTCTTTAAGCGATTTCATGCATTTCAAATAATATGAAAAATCACTCGTATTTTTAGTACAGTATTTCTGAAAAATGTTGCCTTGTTGTGAAAAACACATAAACACACAAGCGCCTTTCTCAAAGTCATTTTCGCTAGTTTATTTATACTTGTTAGCGAAATTTTAATTCTATTTCTTTATAACACAAGCCTGATGGAATCATAGTCTCTCCATTTGATATGCTGAGTTGAGCGCGAAGCATTTTCAATTTGCATTTATGTATAGGTAATCTAAAACAGAAGTTCAAATTTCCATATGGTAAAGTTGGTTTTCTTGTTTCCTTTAAAACAGCCACTCCCGTTCTAATCGGTCTACGCGATTTGACTGCGAATTTCCATAATCAATCCGCTTATCTCCTGAATATTAATCACCGTTTCTACAGGATTAATGGAATTTTAATAAAATGTGTTCAGGTTGAATACACTGCCGAATCCCTGATAGTGCGATTCATCGGA